GACAAATAAAGGGAGCAAATACATTGACAGGGCTTTCACTTTATTTGGGGACTCCAAAACTGAAAACACGGCAGCCTTGCTAATGTATTTGCTCCCTACCTTTGCATGGAGAGTTTGGGATATCCCCTCCATTTTGGCGTCTACTTGAGAGGTTTTTTTGAGCTTGGGAGATGATTTCAGAGAAAACCAGTGCCACCATCGTGTTTCTCGCGAACCTTTACATAAGAATCAACAGTCGAATCGCAAATTCTTCACACATGCAACATCTCTATTCAAAAGATTCAAACTTCTCGACGGAGGGCACCCGGACCCCACTCTCCTTCTTGGGGGGGGGGGGGGGGGGGGGGTGGGGTGGAATCCGTTAGACCTTCTCTCTTCTTGGAGGAGCCCCCATACGCCACACCTCCGACTCAATATTTTGTGGCTTCCTCGCGCACTTTAACAGCAAATGTTTGATGGCGCAGGATCGTCGAATCAAAGATACTCAAGATAGACTACAGAAAAGCGGTATCTCTGTAGGCGAAGCAGGAAAATTCTTTGATGCAAAACGCACCTTAGTTTCAGAGGACAGAATCGTGAGTTACAGAATCGCACGCAGAGGGAAAGGATTCTCGCGCGATGAAATACCTCTGAACAAGGGTCGCGATCAAATATCAAAGGTCATGAACTGGAAAAGGAGTGGAAAGCTGGGGGGTTTGTAAAAGTGTAAAAAGGAAGCGGGCAGGATGCGAACGACCACGCAACACGCTATGTTTGATTGACGCCACCAATCACAGCAGCGCACAGAAAAAGAGGCCCACATTGATAACTTTCATTCAATCGGCGTCCGAGTGCGAGAGGATATAGCTAATTTAGAACGGTGCTATTTATGGGCGCAGTGTGTTGACTCTACGTCAAAAACAAGCGGTTGTTTGAGTCAACACAAGCGAGCTGGATGGCGGCACCTGCTGATGGCGTTAATCGATTAATCGATAGGAAATAAGCACACATACAAAAAGAGAGAGGTAAACAAGGAGGGAAAACATCGAGGGAAAACAAAGACGAGGAAAAACACGAGGGTGGGTGGAGAATACTCAGGGTTGGTCACCTATCCTCTTTATTGACATTTCCACGTTTGGATCAGTGGTCTTCGCAGTATGAAGGAATGGAGAAATTAATTCGTATCTACATTCAGGTGATTGGACGGACGTCATTTCCTGTGTCAAAGCTATGTGCGATATATCGCATCGATTAGTTCCATAATTTTAGGTACATAATTTGTTTTCGAATTTTGAGATTGTACATCCGTTTTCATGAGAATAAAGAATTCATGTACCATTTGATAAAGAAATTCAACGTAATAAAGGCAGGGTTTTTTTAGAGGAAAAACTTCGAATTTGAGTGCAGTTTCGATATCAGTGTCGAATGCGATATTTTTCCTCTAAAAATACCCTGCCTTTATCAGGGCCGGATTTACCTTCTTGCCGCTCATGGGCCGCCTGTATTTTGCCGCCCCATCTCATTCGTTTTGAAACATCCATAGAAACCATCAGGTGAACGTGCCGGAGGAGGAGGGGTACATAAGACGCGTTTACTCGCGTTTGGCATATTTTCTATGAAAGCCCAGTTAACACTAGCAAAAGTTCACGGAACTTTGCTCGAAAATTAGGTTCCGTAGACCTATCTCTGCGTGGACGATGCCTTTCATTTAGAGGAAAAGAACGAAAAAATTATGAATAAGAATAAACATGAATGTGGTCGAAAGGTCTTAATTTCCGCCACCGCGCCAACCGCATTGTGTTTGGCGCAATGCGTGAAGTATCCCTGCAGTCTTGTAGGCGCTATGCGTTTCACGCTGACCAAGTGACCGCACTGTTTTTGACGCAATGCGTGAAGTATTCATGCAGTCTTGTAGGCACAATGAGTTTCACGCCAACCGCTGCTGACCGCACTACGTTTGACGCAATACGTGAAGTATTCATGGAGTCTTGTAGGCGCTAATATGTGATTCATGCTGACCGGTGCGCCGATAGGGCTTCTTCTTTCCATCTCAAGTTCTCGCCATCATCTCTCTGCGCCGTTCCGTTCCAGGCCAAATTGCGTGTTTGGTTTCTCTCTCAACTAGACTATTGAAAGGCGCTGTCTCTTGTATCACCGAAAGGCGAACAAATTAGAAATTACTATACTTTAACTCTCAGGATATGAGAGATTTTTTCGCCTTTCTTCTTTGTGATTTTTTTTCTGAATTAGATATTTTTCTTGATACCTACATTTGTCCCCCTTTTGCCGCCATGGGCCGCGGCCCATGTGGCCACCCCCTTAATCCGGCCCTGGGCTTCATTACGTTGAATTTCTTTGTCAAATTTAGCACATGAATACTTTAGTCTCATGACAACAGCAGTAAGTGCGATCTCAAAATTCGAAAAAAAAATGATTTTTTGGCTGGCACGAGCGAAATTCGAACTGACAATGAGATTTACGTATACAGTAAATCTCTCGCTAACAGAAAATCAAGAGAACCTCCTTCAATTCGCGTTCCGAACTAGTTTTGTCTTTGCGTTGGTGGATTAAGGGCCGGATTAAGGGTGGCGCATGAGAAGCGGCTGCACTGCCGCTATCACAACTAATAGAGGATCTAAAAATATGAGAGGAAAGAAAAAGGATAAGGGGAAAATAGAAAGAAAGAATGAAGGGCAACGATAAGTAATGAATTCACCGAGCAGCGCGATTAGCAAGTTGTTCGTAACACTTTGACTGAACCAATGGACGATGTTTGATTCTGTTGGTATATGTAGAAATGGTCCACTTAAATCTCCCCTGCAATGTTAACGCATAGGCAACGAACACTCCTATGAGCGCGAATGGTTATCTACTCGAAGAACCCACATGTAAATCGCTCCTATATCGACGGTGTGAGTCGGAAATCACATAGCTCGGTTTGCGACGTCGCAAACTTCCTGTCATACATTATTTTTTAAACGGAAAACGACTCAACGGCAATTCTTTGAAGCTGCCGTGATTTTCCTTCTCTGTGCGCAGAAAATTCTGCATAAACTTCAAGTAATGATGTCAATTTGATCTCGTTTAAATAAATAACATAGAGGCGGAGATTTTCACCGCAAACGAGTTAGGTTATTGCCGACTTAAACCGTCGATATGCTTTGATTGAACCGATAAGCCACGCACGATATTGATCCATCAGTTTCGTCGTCTATCTGAAGGAACACATTGGATCTAGAGTCCAGACTCTTAAAAACATCGACAAGAAAAAATACTCTAGATTCAATCGGATTTTTGCCTAAATCAAGAACCAAGCCTCTTGATTTGAGCGGATTCCCTTTTGATTTAAGCTTAAATCTGATTGAATCAAGAGTATTTTTTCTTGTCAATGTTTTCAAGAGTCTGGACTCTATAGAGCCAATGTGTTTTTTTTCCAGTGTTCAGATTTTCTACGCAGACAACATCCATACCAATATTACCAATATTTATAGTGTAATCTATTTGAAAAGCATAAGTGAATCTCGTTTCATAAACTTTGCAGAGCGAACAGACCAGACGTAAACCTATTGACAGACATCGGCCACTTTAGGTTCGCTTTAAATTTGCCAGATAGGCAACAAACATATCGGGAAGCGCCGCTTCAGACATCTTCCAGTGTTATATATAAATAGAAGTAAGAGCAAAACAAATTGGTAATTCTTTTCCTGGCTCTAACTAATTGATGTCTTGTAAAAAATATCAGTAAAAAATGAATAAATAGAATTCCAATAGAATGAATATTTGGACTTCACATCAAAGCCAAAAACGCGGCAAAACGTGTACAGAAACCTTGTCATGACGTCGTACCAACGCTAATTTTGAAACAGGATGTTAAGGCGTCGTCGTAACAACGTTTTTGCACACGTTTGGCCGAGTTATTGGCTTTGATGTCGATTCCAAATGTTCATTTTGCTGAAATTTCATTTATTTGTTTTTTTCTTATGTTCATTTTTAAGAAATCTATTAGTTTATTTCAATCGGAGCATTACATTTTGAAGTCTCAGTGGTTTTAGATCTTAAATTGATTAGATAATTTACAGTTGTCTTTGTTCGAATGGAAGTCGAAGTAAAAATCCATTGAAAATTCGTACGTTGCTGTTTGATTTTCCCCCAAATATGGATTTTGCTCCCTTTCTTTAAAATGACTGAAGATGGAAGAGTTGACCGAGACATGGGTGGAAATGGGGGGGAGGAGGAGGAGGCAGAAAGCTGTTTGGCCCTTCACAGAAATTTGAGGGATTTTGAAAAGTAAGTGACATATCTTTCATCTTGAAATTGTAATTGGATCAATTTTTCTGGGAGAATAGCTCACAAATGCCAACATGACGAATTGACGACTCTATTTTTCCAATTTTTCCGTGGGAAGTTCCCCGAACCCCTCTACATGGCTTGAAAAGTTCCACGAAGTTCCTTTTCAGCAAGAGAATCTGTTCCTTTTCAGCTAGAAGAATCCCGTAGACACACCCCCCCCCCCCCCCNTGGGGTGTTCTCTGTGAGTGTCACCAGTCACCTCCCAAACCGAAGAAATTTGAAAGAAGCGCTTTTTGCTTGGGCGCTTGTGATTGGTTGCCTAACTCTCCGTAAGAAGAAGGTGGCGCGAGTACCCACTTTCTATCAGGTTACTTGTCTATGGAGCGGAACATCTCCTGTCCATTCCGATCAGCTGATAAAAGTAAACAACAGCTTGAGGTTATGTTTACGAAACTACCGAACGCGAAATACGTGAAGTTCGGAATCAGGCTAACAGTTTGCTTATTTTAGAAAAAAAAAAAGTTTTGAAAAGAAGAATCATGAGGTGATGAAAAGAAATTACATTTAATTCAACTCTCACTAAAATTATTTTTTCTATTTGATTGCATTCTTCAAACTCAAAATATCAAATGATCTCTGTGTTTCAACGTCCCATTTTTCCTTCAATTTGCTTCCTTGTGATAGCGATTTTCGCAATTAGGACATTATGCATGTTATATTTCATAAAAATGGGCAGGAGAAGAGTTGACTTAAAACTGAAACCCAATGTGAAAACAATAATAGTTATTGGTTCTGGAGGACACACAACAGAGATGCTAAGATTGGTGAGGCATCTTGATTCAAATAAATTTTACCCGAGACTTTACATGATGGCAGCAAGTGACAAAACGAGCGAAAACAAGATCATCGAGCTGGAAACATGCTTGGAGGTGGAAGAAGACGGATGGAGTTCAAACTACAGAGTAGTCAAAATACCACGAAGTCGCAGTGTTGGTCAATCTTACATTACATCAATTTTTACAACTTTATATTCCATTTTGATGACTGTTCCTAAAATTATACTTGTAAACCCTGATCTCATATTATGTAACGGTCCCGGTACATGCATTCCAGTTTGTGTGATCGCTTTTTTAATGCGAGTCTTTTGTTTTTCTAATAATGTTATAGTTTTTGTAGAAAGTGTCTGCCGAGTAAAATCTCTGTCTTTGTCTGGTAAAATATTAATGTATATTGCAGATGAAATTGTAGTTGAATGGATGGAACTTCAGAGTAGATATCCAAGAACCAAATACATAGGTAGATTGTGATTAAATAAAGTCATGATCCAAGAATTTGGTTTTGATTTTTCATCTGCACTTTTTTTCAATCATTACTTAAAAAGGGAAGGTTTGAAACATTCACTACTTGCAATGAGGCAAAGTGGTGGACTTGTCAAATCTCACTGATTTTTATCTATTACATTAACTAATAATTTTTTTTCCAGTATGTTAAGATGATAAAAAGATGAAATAATGTTGCATATTCCTTGAAAATAACTTTAACTTTCAATCAACCAGTTTGTCAAACACCTACAATGCGCCTGACAGGAACACATCCATCCTTTTTTTGACCAACAGATCTCAAGTTTTACTGAGAGGTTATTTCAGATTTAACTTTACTGAACTGAATACTTTGATATCCTTAAAAGTTTTTTCCATGGCTGTGACCGTCCATGGGGGAAAAACCATTGTTCCAAGAAAATTTTTATTCTGGAGGGACATATTTATCGAGTTGGGCAGAAAAATTGGTAATAGCACTCATGCATGCCACAGGGGTTTGAAGTTTAAAAACTATCTCTCTTGTAAAAATTAGCTAGAAAAAGGACAATTCCTCTGGTTTTCGTCGAGACAAACTGCCAGGCTCAAAAAAAAAACTCTACAACTTGAGACTGTAATGGAGGGATTGCCTATGGTTATGGTGAGAGTCTATTTCTTCATCCTGGCAAACTTTCCATGTACAGATAGGGGGCAAATACGTTGGCTTGGTTGCTGCGTCTTTGGAGTTCCCGGACAAAGTGGCAACCCTACTAATGTACTTGCTAATTGTCTGTGCATGGACAGTTAATGTACTGAGGTGCACCCTCACTACAACAAAGGCAATTCCTTCAAATACAGCCTTAACTTCGAGAGCTTTTTTTTAAATCTAAGATTTGATTTCTGAGAGAACTCGTGACACCATCAAGTTTCTAGCAACATTTTATGAGCAGGAAAGCACTGAAATTGCAAATCCTAGTGATGCGCGAGAGCACAATTGAATTCATTACAGAAACTCCTTTTCGGAGGCTCAAAGAATGTGTTGCAAATAATTCCGTAAAATAATGTGTTTGTAAGTGCAAAAATGAAAGCTGCACATTTTCACTCAATCATGCTAATCAGAAAACACAGATAATCACAAACATAAGTCTTCATCCTCAAGACTACATTTTTTGAACCACAGACTTCTAGTAGATCATGACTCCGAAATAAGGTTTGCTATAAGTTATATTTAAATATATAATTCAGACGAATCTTAGGTATAGTTTTAAAAAAATAATAAAAACTGGCAAATGAAACTGGAAACAGAGTAATCAACATTTTCAGAAAATCAGAAAGTAGATCATTACTACTATTGTGCCTATCTACCTGAAATATAAGCGCTTGTGCCCTGATGAATTTTTTTGCTCCATATCTGATCTGCCGAGTGAGATGAGTAAAACAACAGTGGCTCAGCTCACTTAGGCAGAACAAACAAAAATCAGCCTAAGTACCTACATTGGCAGTTGACTAATTTATTTTCCTGTTTTATTTTTGAAGAAAAAAACTGAGCAACATTCTGCCTTAAAATTTGATGAGTACATAGCCTCAAACATCAGGGAAAAATTCACAGAACCTTTCTACACAGTTAGTTGTTAAGTTTTTGTTAAAAATGAAATATCCTAGGAATTAGGCTACACGAGATTCACTTACAATTAGCCTGATTCCAGTTCTTATACTGTCATCAATCACCATAAAAATCGTCTAAGGTTAGAGAGGACCCATAAAGGATAAGAAACAAAAACCTTTTTACTTTCTAAATTTTGAGCGAATTTGTGCTAACTATAAGCTTGTATTTACAGTCCAGTCAGAGGTTTGAGTTCCAGAGCCACCCCCTATGAAGGCTTCATTCCGATTCATAATCTAAGGTTCATGACAAAAGCAACACACAAACACCTTCAAAGTGGATGCATGCTGTCTTCAAAGTTGAGAAATCAATTATTTTGGTGGGAAAACCTCCTTGAAACATGATTTCTTTTTGAGTTGATAAAGAGAACAGATACAATGAGGACTCACCTTGGGTAATGCTGGTATTGAAAAAACTCATCTCTTTGCCCCCACTTCGACACATTTGTTGCCTGAAATTGATAAAACATTTTAGCATGTAAATAAAATGAAAAATAGTCCACAAAAAGCTATTTGAAAGAAAAAAGAGTTGCATACAATTTAAAATAGGGAATTCAAAGAAGGAAAACATTTCGTTCCTTTATTTTTTTTTTTTCTGCAAAATACACTGATAAAAAACACTGCAGCTCTTCAGAAAGCTGAGAATACTCCTTAATACTGCTTTTGTTCAGATTTTTTGTTTGTTTGTTTGTTCAGTTTAGGAAAATTTCTTGAGCATCATTCACTGTTTTGAGAAGTTATGAGACAGACTGTCTATGACTTACTTACTTTTGAATAATACGACGTATTTTCGGCCCATGTTGGTATTTTCCAATCAGGGAGACTTGATGAGACAATGACAGGCAAATTTGAATTGTTTGGATTTGAATAAAAATTCTTGTGAAAGTTGAGCAGAGTTATTTGTTCCTCTTGTGAGACAGGATCAGCTGAATGGAGCGGACTGGGCATAAAAAAGGACAATGAAATAAATAAAAAAGAGAACATGGAAGGTGTTCCAAAAGTTCTGTAGTACAACATGAAATAGAAAAAATGTTAGCCATTTGCACTTCACAAAGTAGATTTCTTAATTGAAGACTTGGGTGCGACAAGAGCACTTCTCAGTTTCAGAGTTTCAGAATTTCCTTTTGTATTTTTTGTCTTGACAGGAAAAAAAATAGTGTGAAGAGATGGAAATTAAATTAAATGTAGATAGTGAAAGTGTAAAAACGATTACATCAACTGCAATGTTTCAAGATCGCTGCTTCTATTTCGTTTTTTCAAATTAGACCGATCCAACATCATGGCCTGAACTACTTTTCCGCTACAAAAAAATTGATTCAGACGCAGAGAAACGACATTCCACAAAATATGTGGCCCTCCCCTCCATGTACTCTATTCATTGAAATACTTATGAATTTCAGGTTTAACTACATAATTTTTAATGAAAAAGAGCCAATTATAATCACCCCATCTTTTGTGACAATTAAATCTAAAATAAACTAGAATATACCTTGATGAAAATTTTGAGTTATTCTGCATGGGCGGCCAAGTTTTTATTCCTCGACTGGCTATTCCATTGCTTTTTTCAAAGGCACCCTTCGTTTTTCTAGGGTCACTGTTAGCTCCTTTAATTGTAGGGAACTCTGGAACAAGATGAAAAACTTCATACATTTTTTTACAAAACTTTACAATAGCATGTAAGTAAAGACATCTTTTACCATATGAAAAACTAAAAAATGATCTCCAAACTCACACAGACTTAAACTGTAATGAACAGGATGATGTCAAAGGAATAATCCAAGTAGAGCCTTGCGAGGAAAGCATAGAGTTTCAAATTTTATCCCATTTGCATTCACTCCATATGGACTGAGTTTGACCGAGCTGCATTTTGAAAAAAAAAAACCCAAATAATTGTGTCTGATGGAGGAATAAAATTTCTAACCTCTTTATCTTGCTTTGAACTTGATGCGAATAGGTATATTCCTGTTGGACTCCGTCCAAATCACTGTTTAAAGTTGTTTCCTTCTCAGCTATGGTAATATCAATTTGTGAGCATGAGCCTAAATGTTGGTTTTGCCATTCTGATTTTGCCAAGTACTTACTTGCCAAGGAATTGAGTGTACTAGTATGGACCTGTGCACATATTTCAAACTTTGTCTTTTTCGCTTCGAGTCCCGATTTCTCGTGCCTAGTCACATTTACTTTCAAAGAAATTACACCCCGAAAAGGGCTCTCATCTATAACATTTATTTTTGCATACCTCTTGGAGTAAGCAAGAACAATTCACCTATAATAGCAACAGCACTAAAACCTAGTTCAAGAATAAAAAAAAATTACTAAAATGATGATTTTTAAAATGAATGAGGTATGTTACCATAAGCTGGGTAGAAAAACCGCTGATCAGTGGTGTGATTGGTGCCTTGAGCTGGCTTAGAAGTATGCTGAAACATTTGAAAAATATTGTCAAGAAAAAGTACAATCAAAAGTTTCTGATAGTTACTGTATGAAATTTTGAAAATCCTGCATTGAATATCGATGGCAAACTCGAAAATTACATGTATTAGGTACTTTTCGTGCCTCAAAATTTCCACTGGAATTTTATTTTTCCTTGGGGAATCCAGCCAACGTGAATGCTCAGAATTTTTACAGAATTTCCCTCAAACGTAGAGAAGAAACAGCAGGAATTTTGAAAGGATTACATTGATTTGTTTCAAATAAAAAAGTAAGGTATGATCAGAAGTCAGTAATGTGATGCAAACCAAAAAATATATTTTCCGAGCTTCCCACATTAATATGCTCAGAAGTGTGTAGACACTGAAGAATTATAAGTAATAAATAACTTTTGTACTGAAACTAGTTTCACAGTTTCAGCTAATGAAATCTATCAATGATTGAGCTAAAAACATCCAAACCTACGCAGGGTGAGTACAGATGTACCAGGTGAGTACCTGCCTGACACTGTACTGATTCATGCGTCCAAGGTAATTTCCTATATTATAGAAGAATAGGTTCCATTGAAGAAAAAATTATAATATAAATGACTTTGATTCATGAACCATTCACAAGGTGCAGCTTTATCAATTTGACTACACTGTTGTAAGCGGGAGTCTATGCTGAAAAACGAAATTTGCATATTTCAAATTATGGCCCTCCTCATACTCCATTTTTTGGAGGGAATTTTAACCAAAAGTTTCTATATGGAGTCCCCCTACCTCCATAAAAAACTCGATTAAATAAAACTTTAGGACTCTATTTTTCCCATAATCTTAATGATTATATATTGTATAGATTTTTTACACTAAACTGGTGTAAGAGGTATGGACAAATGGAATTTTAGAAAGTCGTCAAAACGCGTAGATTTGACAGCATCGAGAGTACGACTGCGAAGACCTGCGCGGCAAATGGACGGTACGACTTCATACGTCACTCGATCGCCGATTTTCTCAGCGCTGCCACTTCGGCACCCCGTTTGTCCATACCTGTAGTAGAGTGTACCTTGGGTGTAAGTAACGGTTAAGGCTCGTAAACCGATACTAAAACACGCCTGCATAACTGTCACTGCACGAAAGTTAAGAGGCCGCGAGAGCACCACGGCTCGAGTTTAAAAATCGCGCCATTGGAGTAAGGCAGTGATGGGAAAGATGGCCACACCACTCTAGCCACACCCGCCGGCGCTGACGCGACCTCTATTGATTTTAGTATCTGTGAAACTAACCTATCATTTTCTCAGTTATCTTATCACCACAATGCAGTTGGCAGTAACGAGGAGCTGAGTAGTGAACCGTCAAAACGCTTGAATCACGCATGGTACATGCCCCAAATTCATGACATTTTTAGTCAAAGATTTTCGTGCGAAGTAGCGGTTTTGGAAAAGAAGCCTTGCACAGTTAAAAATTGTGTGTGACCTATGTGAATTTTTCGACATCAAGATGTTTGCAATGAGAGCTCTCTCACTTATCAGGAAGACTCCTACACCTGGTGCATACCAAGATTTGTTAGCTGTAGACATTTGCAAAGGTTTTGGTGTTTCATTCGCAAATAAAAGCAGAAGTGAAGGCGCGCGCTTCGTGACTACTTCTTCCCTCCATTATTCAGACAAACCAATAGTATCAAGAATAAAGGACACAGCTGAGGATGCGAAGAAACAAAAGCAAAGTGAGAAGAAGAAGCGGGACTTCATTCCGAAGATAACTGTACTAGATACTAATGGGAATATCAGTGTGTTGACTATGACTGAAGCATCAAGTTTAGCAGAACGAAGAGGCCTAAAGTTAGTTTATGTACGTGATGACACGAAATCAGGCCGAAAGGAATACAAGTTAGTGTCCAAGACAGACTTGGTGAAAGCAGAGTTAGCAGAGTTAGGAAGTGATGAAGAGAAATCTAAGAAAACTTCAGAAAGAAAAACTAAGTTAGTTGCAGTAGCTTCAAAAATAGAGGAAAATGACTTAAAGGCTAGAATAAAGAAGATGCATCAATGGTTAGAGAAGAAGTATGAGACTCGAGTGACTATAGATATTGTGCATGGAGATTCAGCTAAGGCTGAGGAAATATACAAGGCATTTGAACGAGAGTTTGAGAAATTAGGGAGACTGCGACAGAAAGTTGTGAAAGAGGACAGCATTAAATTTGTTTTACTACCTCCAGCAGAGGAAAAAGAAAAACCGAAAGAAAAGAGAAGAAAAAAGCAACCGGCAACTGATGAACTTTCAGAGGACAAAGAGACTATAGCACCATCTTAAAAATATGTTCGTTTAAAGTTGCCTTAATTTGTTAAATTTATTTTGTTCCTTAAATTTTTTTGTTCACTTAGGTTAGTAAAACTTTGATGCTATAATTAACAGTGATATGTTGTTTCAGGAATGTTAATTTGTAAATTCCTTCCTAAAGTTGCTGCAAAACAGATTTTCAAAGATTTTTTCTAAGCATTATGAACTCTTGAGATCCCTATTAATAAATTATATAGGATTTTCAGGACCTTTTTAAGGTAGATATTTGATGAATGCCTCAGTGGCTCCTTATTTGACTTACGAATGATCTGTTGATATTTATGTTATGTACCTAATTTTAAACGGACTCATTTTCTCTGTCCTCTTAAAAAAAAGAGCACTGGTTTGTTCTGGCTCGTACTGTAATAAAATGTAATGTAAATTCATCCTTACTTCTTGTAATTCTTAGTTGTTATAATAAATATTTTTTGAGATTGAAACAATCAATTTTATTATTAAAGTCCGGTTTCTGAGGATATGGAAACTAATAGGAAATATTTTAATGATTCATAAACCTAAGATGATTGATGTTAAAATTAGCTGAAACAAGAGAGAAAATATATATTGACTACTGTAAATTTACACCTACATTACAGAGAACTACTTTCAATCATCAAGAAGATACCTAATAGAATAATTACTGCTTGGTGAATTAATGAGTCAAATTGGAACTAAAAGGCACACATTGTCACACTAGTGAACCATGGCTGGCCACCACCATTTAGGTCACTTTCATAAACAATTTTCACAATTGTTAACTAGGTATTAGATATTTATCAGTAGTCGAACATTCCAACGTAGAAAGATCACAAATTCTAAAAAAATAGCTTTCTTTCAGTTTTATTTTGTCCACTTTTCTTTTCCGACAGGACAAGCCCTGATGTATTCAATTGAAAGGAGTTTGAAGAAATCTAGTGTCCAAAGTATAACTTGAACAAAACATGATATTTGATACATGAAATACTTTTAAATGAAGTAAGGAGGAAACGTCTTATTGTATTCCTTCTAAAGATTCCTTTCAAAGCTTCTGTATCCAACTTTTACTCCTGACTCTAGGTATTAAACAAAAATTTTTCCTATTTGAACTGCACAATAAAAAAATTCACCCAATAAAGTTAAAGGAAAAGTTGAAAGAGAAGTTGAACCGTTTGAGTTGGGCGGAAAGGGCTATCGCCATCCAGAAATTAGAAACCACCAATCATACAAATTTTTGATACCTTTCCACCCTTTGGATGGCAGAGACTACCAAAGGGAGTATGGATGTATTGAGCGGCAACATGGGTATCTCTTGATTATGAAATTGCAAGTCTAGGTTCAAGTTTGACTTTTCCTTGAAAAATCTGACCAAATACGTCTATCTATCACATTTTAACGAAAATTTTTAGGGTGTGAATGAAAATCACCATATGATTTCAGTGAAAAGTCATCAATACAACACATCAATTGGACACTTCCGCACAGCTCTCAATATCATGGAAAAAAATGAAAAAAGCTTAAATGAAGCTCACAGAGAGAGGAGAGAAGAGCTTATCATGAAATAATGCCATCTTCCTCACTTGCCTAATATCACCAAAAAGAAATCAATCCTTCAAATTTTATCTTGAATGGATAGTCACTTGGATAGTCAATTCTGGTGTATGTAGTGGTATTGATTGGAATCATTTCACGGCAGTTGAATTAAATGGACCCTAATAGTCAGAAAAATGCAGGGATGGTTACTGAAATTGACAGATAAAGCTACAGACAAGAAGGATAGAGGGAAATTAAACAGATCCTATTGGTTGAAATGGGGGGTTCTTATAGACTAAGGGGGAAAATGATGGACTAGTTTCAGGGTCTCTCATCGGTTGCCCCTCGTTAGTCTACTACTCACCTCCTTAGTTCATTGCAACCACTTGCTTCCATAAATAGGATTGCTCCATTTTCTCTTTGCTATTAGTTTTGTCTATCAATATCAAAAATCACCTGCAGAAAGTGGAAAAAAATGACCCCTCCTAACTGAAGCTTGAGGGAGGTCGCAAATATTAAAAGCAAAATATCAAAAGGAGAACGTTCTCCTCTGACAAGGGCCTCTACAAAACAGAGGTTAACATTTGACTAATAAGTGATCAAAGGTGCAATCACATTAATTTTAGAAATCCTTGAAAATACTTACAGTATAAAATGCATACGAAGGGACATCTCGCGTATGGAAGCTGACAGGTGGCACTCCTGTGACCATAATATCATTAGTTGAATCATTCCAGACACCGCTATGAAACAGAAAAATTTGTTAGGCAGTGGATATAGTGATGTTTGGAACAGGTGTAACTTTTTTTAATTATGAAAATTTCATTTGCATGTATCCACAGTGAAACTGCGGGAAAGGGTATCTCGTTTACCATATTTTAATATCTCCACTCCAATATTATTTCATCAAAGGAGAACAAACAAGCGCTATTGCTTGACACATTCAGATCATTTTTGAGCAAAGAAGAGTAATCATGAAATGATATTGAGTAATTCTTATTCAAAAAAAGAAAAAAGTATTACAAGGAGTCTATGCCTCCAAAAAATGAGATATAAGCTTCACTGACCATACGTTTAAAGATACTCGTCACTCCGAGCTTGTATAATATGCGAGCGAGGGGGGGAAAAATAGAAAATTCTCTGAAAAGGACATGCCCTGGTTGGTGTTCAAAACTGAAGTTTAAAAGAGTAAATCGAAATAAATAGTAGTTTAATAAAAAGAAAACTTTACTTAAGAGTGAAAAAATTGTTATAGAATGCTTAAAATATTGAAATTGCATGGGTCAAATGCGTTTTGCTTTTCAATTTTGAGAGTTGGATTAAAAATCTTGGAATTCTTTGGCTTTGTGTGACTAAAATATATCAAAATTACTTTTTGCATTCATTTATGAAAATCATTGGATTGGTGGTCACTTTTCCCGTGAGTGACAAACTAACAGGGCATACCTAAAGAAAGAGTGTTGCTGATCAGAGGTGAGAAATGGAGCTGTTGAAAATTGAGAGTCGGCTGACCCTACAGAAACTGATCCACTACCAGCCTGCACCCATTCAACGTCCAAACCTGTAATGTGGACAGAGGTGAAATACTTATGACTGTAACATATGATTACGATGTAGACCAAAGGTAAAATATTGATAAAGTGGAATTTTTTTAAAAAAAAAAAAAAACATTTCTGCAACAAGTGGGAGTTTTTGTGAGAAACACTTATCAATCGCCAACAAACCAAAACCACGTACCTCCATTTCTAAAGTGGCACACTTCCTGTCATGTCTTATTTTTTCTATGCAAAAAAACAAGACATAATTTCTTGAAAACTTCCTTGATTTTTCTCCTCTTTGAGTAGATATTCAATATGATTTTCAAGTTATAAAAGTGAATTGTTTCTCTTCAAAAAAATAAAATTGGTGGGACGATTTTGAAACACCGCAACAGAGATACGTTATTTTGCATTTTGCCCATCGACATTCAGATTGTTGACAAACTGAAGTTTCCAAGAACGTTTGATACATAGGACGATTCTTAAAAATTTTGGCTTGGAAATAAAAAATTCCCTGTGAAAATCAGTTAATCTTAGCATGAAGCATCTGTCAAAATAGGCAGCAAGGGTGACAGAAGTATGTACTTAGAGAGACCCGTAGGCCAATCATTAGAATTTTATGCCTGCTTGACAAGAGATTAAAATACGATATATACTGAATGGTAAAATTGGGCTTTGTCTTGTCTTGTCATAACAACAAAATTTCAAAAATCAGGCCCTTGGTTAAAACCAACAGAACAGTTATAAAAAGTACTATTGTTACTCAGATAAGTTAGGAAAGTGTAACCAAATAGGTGAAAAAGCGACTCAAAACCAACAAATTCCAACAACTTGGAAAATCACACTTACTTCATTTTGCATGACTTTTGATTCAACTACATGATTTATTATCAAACCGTGTTTAGCAGAGAGGAACCAAATCACATCACCTATTGACAGATTTAACTGAGCAATATAATTTCTTTCAAGAGAACATTTGTGCAGATTTATTTGAAATTTTTAAGGAATTTGCTTTGTACTCTTCAGAGAATGCACTTACATTTGCAAGAAACTCTGCATAACCGTTTTCATAAAAAAAATTAAATTGGCTAATTGAATTTGACAATTGATGATGTGGCTTGGTTCTTTTCTGCTAAACGCGGTCCACTTTTGATCAGTTCTATTTGAAGAGATGGATTTGTATATGCAGTGGTGTAATGTCCAAACCATGTATCTTGGTTTATGCAATGTTGCAGACTTCCAGTCAGATACTTTATTTTTTAAATAGCGGACATCACTTCTTAAGAACTTTCATGATTTTCCTTCTTTGGGCATAGTAAATTCTGAAAAAAAAAAAAACTTCAAGGAATGTGATTTGTTCTTCTCCAAAATGATAAAATAGGATCAGAGATTTTTAACCACTGCTATTGAGGTGCATGGTTTAGTTTCAGCTTCAATAGGCATCTTACAGTATAGGAGAGAATAAAAGAAACTCTCTAAGTTGCATGTATTTGGGCGATTGTTAGATGAATTGCATAAGATTTTCCGAAACCTAGGTCCTAATTCTGAATATACTATGACATATATGGGCACTGTTTAATGATGTAGGATCCTTAAGGGGGTATTTCAATTTTAATTCATCTGCTATGATGGTAAAAACTAACCTTTGGAAGTGGGGGTTATTTGTAATGCGTATAGAATGAGTCCCTCGGGTGACACCGTTGGTAGCTGCCTCCTTGCAAGACGAGCTTGGATTGCTTTCTTGAAGAATCTTAGATCACTATCATCAGTGTCCAAAATTGGACTAACATAGAACGGAGGAGAGAATTGGCCAAGAACAGCGAAAGTGTCCAACAAAGCTTGCCTGACTTTCCTTTTTGGTTCGTGGCTTCCACATTGAATAAGAACATTTGTTAACTCAGGAATATTGAATTCAGTGCTGGGAAATATCATCAAGGCGTACAACAGACAAAGTAATGAGTTCTCTCGCATCTGGAAAAAAAAAAAAAAAATTCTGAATACAGACTTCATAGTTTTGAAAGATGCAATGCACAAAATTCAGCGAAAATCTTAGCCTATGATTTCAGCATAACTACAGCAAAGTGTCTCACGACTGAACTCCGAAAAATGGGTGGGTCGCACCCATGTTTTAATTCGTTTTTTAAAAGCAGAGAGTGAACTAAACTCCTAAGAATTTTCACAAATTTTTTTTTAAACTCTGTTATGAAAATGCCAAAAACAAAAGCTGTTTGAAGTGATATTTTATGCTTGCACTGATGACAGGAAAACAGGGTTTACTGATTGGCTGAACTCATATTCTGGCATCAACTTGCTATGTTAACTCAACTGTCGGCTTTTGATTGGCAGATTTTAATTAGTTTTTTTCTCCTCCTAAAAATGATTTTTTGAACTTTTTGTTGAATTATTTGGTTTTTTTCCACAAAATTTTTTGTAGGGAAACTAAGTATACTGTGACTCTGCAAAAATTCCTTGCCACTGACCCATTTATAAAGACAACGCCCCATCTTTTTGGAAAATTTTCAGGGTAAAATTCATCTCACATTTTACTTAACTTAAGGTACCTACTTAAATCTTGAAAATTTACTTTTAAAATTACTTATTGGTGATTCCCATACTTCACAGCTAAGTACCTACAGTGAATATTGAAAGAGATCTACTTACACAGAAGCAGTAACCTCTAGCCTCTTTTTTGACATTCAAAATTCCTACCAAGTGACATGATTATACGTTACCTTAGAGCTTTTGGAGAAATAGCACTGTTCCGTGAATAGGACATTCACTATTGAAGATGGTCTCAGCTTGCGCAAAAGCATTTTAATTGTTTCAACTGCTTCAAGTTTTACACTGATGTTCGAGACACCCCCTATATGCTGACAAGTAGCCGGAACCAAATAAGGAAGCTCAGGTACCAGACTCTGGAAAGAAAGCAGAATTTATAAGGTGATTTTAGAAGGTTGCATAACAAAAATAAAATGCTTAACAAAAATTCTGTGGCTATGAAATTGTTGAAGAGTTACCTTTGACCGTCTTTCAACTCTCACTTGGCATTGGTATTACATTCTGAACTGAGATAGCAGAAAAATTGATTGGCTGCATAAATAAGCGGTTCTTGGATCATCATTCAAATTTTAATGATACTAACTATTTCCTTGTGGCAGGCTGGAAATTTGGTTACCCTCCATAACCCCTCACTGGAATGAAAATTTACAACTGTCTCAGACTGGCTAAAAACCAACAGACTGTCATGCTTAAGTAAGCTGATTTGATGGTTGCCATTTTTTGCATCAGAGCGATGTGCGATATATTGCATCAATTCGTTCCATAAATTCAGCTACTTGTCATTTTTTTCGAATTTTGAGATTGCATTTCTGTTGCCACGAGACTAAAGAATTCATGTACCAAATTTGACAAAGAAATTCAACGTAATAGAGACAGGGTTTATTAAGAGGAAATAATATTGCATTCGATACTGATATCGAAACTGCACTCAGATACAATATTATTTCCTCTGAAAAAACCCTGCCTTTAATACATTGAATTTCTTTGTCAAATTTGATACATGAATTCTTTAGTCTCATGGCAACAGAACTGCGATCTCAAAAATCGAAAACAATGACTAGTAGCTGAAATTATGGAAGGGATTGATACGATATATCGCACATCGCTCTGACACAAAAAATGGAAACCATCGAATCTCCATAAGTGCTGAGAGGATGTTGCGGAAGACACAATTGACCTCAGTGCCGGAAGTCCGGGTACCAAAATATCTGTAGTTTTGTTTTCATGTTTTTGAAGATGATTTACTCTTGTTGCAGCCTCATTGGTAATTTAAAATGATTTAAAATGTTACTTGAACAATTTCACATTCATTTTAGCAGCTAAAGAAATTGATGTTGACATCGTTATAAGATGCATGGGATTGAGAATAAAACGATGGTGAAACTCCCAATCTATCTCGTTTGCATTGTTTGAAATTCTCCACTCCCATTTCATTTTTTTGAAAGAGACCAACTGTTCAATATCATTCTGAGAAGTTATTACAGAATATTATTTGCACAGAGAAGAAAAATCACAGCAGCTTTGAAGGATAGACGTTAATCAGATTTCCATTTAAAAAATGAAGTGGGTGGGGAAGTCTGCAACGTCTCACCGAGTTACTTGGTTTGGAAGTTTCACCGTGGAAATATCTTGGAGTGGATCTAGAAAGCTAAAATGAAACATGTGATGGCTGTAATCATCTCTAAATGATTGATTGTATGAACAGAGTTTTGTTCCTTAATTTTGTCCAGGTATGGAAAAGAAACTCTAAATTTCACGATTAAATGAATCAAAAGTTGAAAAATTAAGACACAGAGACAATGCGTAAATACGAACTTGGGAAAGAACGACAGCTGTGATTCTCGATACATTTTCCTGACCATCATGAAAGATTGACTCATAGAATATAATGGAAACTGAAGAGATAAAATTTTTCTTCGTCGGAGAACAAACGGGCTCAAGAAAACGAGAATAATTACAAGAAAACTTTTGGGAGTACTTACAAAACAAACATGCTTTCATTCGAAAGGTTAGGTATATCTGATTATTGTTGATTGCCCTGATCGAAAGTTTATTCCTACTTAATTTGAATAAAATAGATGTATCAATCTGAACACCCTTAATTTCACACATTATTTAAATCAATAAAGAACTCTGCGTCGAATAAAACAAGAAAATATTAACTATTAATGGGATTGCTACTTTGGTTTTTTGGTTTACAGTTATACAGCATTCAGCATTACAGCCGGGGCTCCATGCGTGCTCGCGCGCTGCTGGTGTTGCGCATGCGCCGTAAGCGCAATGCAATTCATGAATGAACCAGTCAAAACAGAACGGACCAATGAGAGGCCAAGAATTCGTCATCGTTCTCATCGTAGTACTATGCGTAGTATTTTGAAGTGAACGTTGCCAGTTTGAATGAGCAATTGACAGAGAAAGTGCTCTAGCCGTGAAACATGAAAGTACACTCGAAATTTTAAGTAGAAATCTGGATTATCTCATCTACTACGCTCGAGGAACAAAAAAACAAACTAAACCACTCGTCAAAGAGAGTCTGTTATCGATGCCAAAATACAGGGAAAACCATTTAACCCAATAATAACCCGGGTTAGTCTGATTATCCTTCCCATTAATTCGTGGGGAGGGGGGGAGGGGTCCTGAAATTTCAATTTTGGAGAAAATGTATGTAAAGAAAAAGTCATTTTGACGAATAAAACACGTTCCTAGTCTAGCGGTTTCAACTCCAATCCTCCTGTATATTGCGAGTTTTGTAAATTTAAGGGTACCTAAGTAAGTTTGTCAAAATCGTGGAATTTTTTGGATTGTATTTTGCACTTATTGTGGTGACAATCATTGTAATCCCTCTGAGTTATTCCTGATGTCCAAAGTTATACCGCTGCATTTTGCTCGAGGCTGGCAAAAATTGTCTTTTCTTATGATTCAAATGCTAAGAATTTACTTAAACTTATCTCAATCAGAATGTAAAACAAATGGAACCTTCTAAAAAGGAGCCTTGTTTAAAGAACAACCATAAATACGACCCTGGCCAATGATCATAGGCGGATCCAGACACTTTGTACGGGGAATGGCGGGGGGTTATGCCATGGAAAATTTTCAAAAATTTAAAGCATATACGGTTTGAATAAATTTTGTTATAAATCATCGCCGAATATAAGCACCCTTCATTCCTCCTTCCTCAGTCCCCTCTTTCTTTCTTTCTTTCTTTCTTTGCACCGCTATTTACTACTACTTTAAAATAAAATTATTTTACTACTACTACTACTACTACTACTTACTTTCTTTCTTTCTTTGGTGTAAATGGCAAAAATTATTTTACTACTACTACTACTTTTTTTCTTTTTTTCTTTCTTTCCTTTCTTTCCTTTCTTTTTATATTTCTTTCTTTCCTTTCTTTTTTTATTTATTTAACCCTAATTTCCATGTAAATTTATTACTATTACTGCCTTTTTTAGAGGTGTAAATGGCCTTAGATGCTAAAGCACCGCTTTAAAATAAAATTATTTTACTACTACTACTACTTTTTTCTTTTTTTTCTTTCTTTCCTTTCTTTTTTTTATTTCTTTTCTTTTTTCTTTATTTCTTTTCTTTTTTCTTTAAACTCAAAATTTAACCTTCCCCCTCAACCCTTTTGTATTTTCACTGATGTAACCTTGATTTCCATGTAAACACACAGAGGTGTAAATGGCCTTAGATGCTAAAAGCACCGCTTTAAAATAAACTTATGTTACTACTACTACTACTTTCTTTTTTTCTTTATACCTTCCTTCCTTCCTCCCCCACCCCCTCCCACCACCACCTCTCTCACTCCCTTCCTTCCTTCCTTCCTTCCCTCCTCCCTTCTCCCTTCCTTTCA